GTCCGACAAAGGGGCTGATCCTATCACTATGATCACCCACTCAGATGAATTCTCGGACTGTCCCAACATACCTAGGTTTTGACCCCCTCTAAGGATCTCACTGATTGGCATATCAAAGACAGTCCAATCCGACACCTAGTGTATTATCATAATCGAGTCTAGGGGTCAGGTGTAACATTCCAGTTTTGCTCATTTATCTCCAAGGTTCAGGGCACTACTGAAATTCTGGTCCGGTTCAGGGTTTCAAGATAACCCACACTGTATGTACCTTAGGTCTCACCCTAGCAGCTGAGACAAGTTACCCCAACTAACTTGGCGGCACATCAGTGTCAGCCTTGGTAGGATAAATCTCCCCAGATCTATCCAACGACTGTGAATATTCTAAACTAACACGAGTCACATATGTGTCCAGTTTAAGGGTATTACACAGAAACACACCACAATAACATGAATCAAATATGTACTTTATTCATTTACAATAAATGTCATAATGTGCATCATTCTGATTGGAACTAAGGGCATACACTTTCTAACATCTCTCTCTCTCCTCCCTCTCCTCCCTCTCTCCGGTCGGCACTGTTTTCATCTTCTATCTTCTTAGTTCTCACTTTTCTTCTCACTCTCAGACTCTCAGAACCGGCGAACCCAGGTGCATCGTTTTCACTCTACAAATTCAGGCACCGGCGGTTGGCACCACCAGAAATAGGTCATCTCTCTCTCTCTCTCTCTCTCTCTCTCTCTTCGATCGGCATCGTCTTCATCTTCTATCTTCTCACTTTCTCAATTTCCATTCTCACTCTCAGACTCCTAGGAACTGGCAAACTCAGACACCATTCTCTTACTCTCAAAGGCGAACTCAGGCACCACTCAGACTCCCAGGTTGGGCTTCGGACTTTTTATGAGGGCTAGGCTCGGGCCCAAGTTGTAGGTTCGCTGGTAGGGCCAGACTCGGGTTCGGGCCTAAAAAATTTCTGTTAATGAAGAGCAAAAGCCCGGCCTGGCCCATGAACAGGTCTACCCACCACCGATAACATTTTAAATAGGTTCTTTTTTTTTATATTTTTCCCAACATTAAATAGCTGCAGCTACTCCTCCTCTTTTCTTGATACCCCACCGTAATCATTTTTGCCTCAGTTCAAGGTACAGTAAGATGATCTATTTTGTCTTTGATGCTTTTCCCTTTGGTTGTGTTTTGTTTGAAGGAAAATAATAGGAAAAGGAAAAGAAAGGTAGGGAGTCTTTTACAAACCATGTATGACAATATGGGTTTCTCTATCTTTCCTTTCCTTTCCCATGCACCTTTTCCCTCAAACCAAACCTAGCCTTTGTGGTTTTGAGTTTGCTAACAAGCCTAACATGCACATAGCAACGGGATATGGTTAGTCATTTGTTGGGACACAGATAGACCTATTCATGGGCTGGGTAGCTCGATGGGCTGGCCTAGCCCCCAGACGGGCTTGAGCATGCATTAAGCCCGCAGGCTTGACCTCGGGCCTAAAAGCCTGAGCCCAACTATTTTGCAGGTCGGGCTCGGGATTTGTTAAAAAAGCCCGGCCTGACCTTTGTATAAGTTAACCTAAATTCCCAAACTGTCTAACCCTAACCCTAAATTCTTAAGTCTTTTCTTTTCATTATCATTTCTCATTCTTACACTCTCAATTGGCTCTCATTTCTCCCTCTCAGACTCTCACAACCTGCAAACCTAGTTGCACCTGCGAACTTAGGCACCGGCGGTTGGCGCCACCAGAATTAGGTCGTCTCTCTCTCTCTCCCCAGTCGGCACCATTTTCATCTTTTATCATCTCATTCTCAGTTCTTTCTCTTCTCAGAACTACTTCTATCTT